ACACAGACAGACAGACAGAAAAAGTTTTTTCCGACCAGACGGAGTAATAGGCTTCGCTAATCGCTCAGCCAATAAAACTTCAGTAGATGAGAAAATATAATCAGAGGCAGTGATAGACAATAATAACAATACGACGTGTGCCTGCAGAAGTGGCGTATCTGTGAAGAGGCGCGCAACACTGGCGGATCTGCGCCGGCCCGGCCAACACTGGCGGATCTGGGAAGGGACGGTCATCACAGGCGTATCTGCGTTCGGCTGATCTGCTCAGTCAACTTCGGAGGCCTATTGCTCCTCGTAGGCATGTCGTACAGTAGTGACTGATGTCTCATTGCAATGTTTATATCCTCGTGATTGAGTTTTGATATCACTCAATACTTTACGACATACCTACATCGACCCTTCCCACATCGACTTGCCGACGCAGGAATGGCAAGAATTTCCATGGCCACCTTCGCCATTTTGGGAAAGAGAGCTGTGCCCTGTAATATAAAAAATTAATTAGCACTGAGTCCGTCTGTCTTTGCAGTTTCTTACTTAGTTAACAGTTCGAAACGTCAGGTGGAAGAACAGGGATCTGATTCCCAGCCTGCACCTAAACGTATGTTTGAATTATCTTTATGTAGTATTAGGCATTTTACAGCATTACGTTTTAATTTCTGCTAATTGAGAATCTCTATTTTAGGTCGTAAGCCAAAAAGAGGGAGTGAGTTTGTGAGATGCTTGAAGTGTCCTGCTACGTACAGTGCATACAAGGAACTTATCAAGCATAGTTGGTCACATTATTTTCCTCCCGGACTATCAAGATGTACTTACAGCGATTGCTCTTATGTGGCGAAGTCTACTGTTGCACTCTATCAACATTCGGTAGACTGTCATGTGACTCGACTTCCCAAGGACTTTACATATCAAAAGTGTAAATATTGTTTTGATGAATTTTTATCTGTAACTACATTTGAACAGCATGCTCAACTGCATAAAGGTTCAGATTATGTATCTGTTGGGTCGGACCCTTTAAAGAAAACTATGCAGATCAAAAGTCAATCACATCGATGTAAGATTTGTTTACAAGGTTACTCTTTAAAGGCTTCGTATTTGAAACATGTTAGATTCTATAAAGATGCGTACAATAGATGTGAGGAGTGCAACAAGGCATTCCCCACAGCTACTACACTAAGAGCACACAGTCTCCGTTGTGTGGGTAAAGTAATAATACCTGAGGAATCACACATCTATGTTTGTTATTGTGGCTCTACTTTTAAAACTGAACGTCGGTTTCAGGAGCATAGTGATAAGAGTTCATCTTACTTTTAGGTGTGGTCAATGTGGGCAGTCATTTCCCACCAAGAGTTTATTAGAGACTAATTTACGAGTTCACATTGACCAAATGTAGTATCGCTTGTTCCTGAATCCTACTCTGATTATGATCGATATTCGACGTGTGCCTGCAGAAGTGGCGTATCTGTGAAGAGGCGCGCATCACTGGCGGATCTGCGCCGGCGCAGCCAACACTGGCGGATCTGGGAGTGATGGAGTGATGCTGACCGAACGGACTCAAACGAGAGGTCCAGCATGAAGCTGCAAACTCTGGAGGACAACCTGGTGTTACGGCACCATTTGCAAGCTAGATGATCGCAGTAAATTTTTTTCTTTATTTATTGACCTTATTTTTTTAATTTTTCAATTTTTCATCAAAGACTGAGCGTGAATACCAGGAACACAGTGACAGATGTGGCCTTAAAATGTGGGCGGTGCGGGCATACTTTTCCTATCCCTACGCAGTGACTGTTAAAGGCCCATCTAAGAAGTCACATTAATAAAATGTACACCTTTCTGCAATGGCAGAAAGTGCATTTTCGGACTTTATTGGGACAATAATTTATTACATATGACTAGTTAGCTTTTAAGTTATAGGGTATTTTATAGGAAAAGCAATCTTTTCTGTCTTCAATTTTGTTTATCTCCTTTGTTTAAGATAGTTAAAGACTGCTATATTCGGAGTTCTATTCCTGCCATTGTCGTTGGAAGTTCTATCCGGCACTACTACTTGGACATCTGAAGTTCCATTCCAGTCTAATAAAGCATTTCGGTAAAGCTGAAATGCATAGCGATTTCCGTTTTCTTCTTCCCCGTATTCTTCTGCATTTTTCGGCTTTAACGGAATGGATAATTTCTAGGCAGATGTACGCCAGACCACATCTCGCGTAACAGGCTTCGCGCTACCTCCTGTCGCGCTTGTAAACCGTCGCGCTTGCGAACTGTCGCGCTTGTGACCCGTTGCGCCTGTGCTTTTTCGCGCTTGTGACCTACGTCGCACTGTTAAGCTGCTGTTAGTATTATCAAAAGTGACCGGCATATAGGTCGCTTGCCGCGCACCGTTGCCTGTGAAATCTGCAACTCAAACCTACCTTAGCTCCGTTGCGACACCCGCGCGAGCCGCACCAGGCGAGCGCGAGGGTGCTGAACGAGTATTATTATTGGTTAGAAGAACAAGAAGAAGTTTCAAGATGGCGGCCACGGACCACAAAAAACATTCAACTGTTTTCCCGAAGCGGCTAGCAGCTGCCCGCGCTCAACGTTACACTGCGCCTATTTGACTCAAATTTGGTACTATTTCGATCGGAAGAGGGGAACACATAAAATAGCATTTGAACATATGTGACGAATTTTTCAGGTTCGTTAATAAGATATGGTGTAAGTTTGTTACAATTGTGAACATGAACTGTTATTTTCATAGATTAACACTAAATAGCAGTCTTGAAGGTCCGATATCGTTTTCATGGTGCTCTTCACGTTTTTTCTGATTTTAACAAAACCAAGTTTGACTCCAACAGACGCGATATTACATTACAGTCGTCGCAGCATTACTTCTGTCTTCGGGTTCAGAGTTCGGCCGCCCCTCCACTTCTGAGCCTCGTCTGAGCCTCGGGTCGGGCGGAGGGATTCGTCCGTCGGGGGCACTTCTTTCCCCTTCCTGCTGGTTTGTTTTGATTCATCTCTTCTCTCTCAGCTCAGCATAGTGGGTTGACCGGCATTGTTTATTTTCTTTTCAGTTCGTGTCAGTATTGTCATTTTGTTAATTTTGAACTGTTAAAGAAAAACAGAATGGGCTGTCATCACCTAAACGGCGGCCTAGAAATTTGGGCCACAGGCCTGCCAAGTGAAAATCATTCCCAGGGTCCACCTTCAATAGACAGTTTCAAACTGCCATATTCGGTATTCACAAATATTACGAGAGAGAAAGGCTGCATGGCAGAAACTTGCTCCCAGAGGAATGTGTCAGGTTAGTGCCCCAGTTTGTTATTCCCTTAATCTATCTTTGGAACAATTTTCCATAATTAATGTTACAGGGAGCGAGTCGCTGCAGCTTTGCAGATCACTTTGCTTCCTGTCACAAAATATGTTCAAAAGGGTTACGAAGATGAAGAAGGGGTGGATACCCCTGGGAAACTGAGGGGGGAGAAAAGACCGATGAGGGACATCGATGACTTTACTAAATGTGCCCTTAGAAGCTTAATATACGAACATCATCGGAACAGTATGTATATTGCAGTGTCTATAAGTATTTATATATTACAATGTGTTACTATTTTGCAACCAAATTTAATACCTGTAATGTTTCTTCAAAGGATGGCACATGACAGTTGACTGCTGGCAGTGAAATTTCCTGGCAGGCAGGCAGGCAACAAAGTGACTGAATTGGATAAAGTAAGATTTTGTGTGTTAATTGCCTTTCCTGTTTGAAATCAACCAATCTTCAATTGGAGACATCCTAACAAGTATTTTTCTTTTTGTTTTAAATAGATGGATGGCTTGCCAACATTTCCTCCAGCCCCACCTCGTACCGAAACAAACACATCTATGGAAAAATTGCTGCTATGCCACTCTGCTTCCGTCCATCAGCGGCATCCACTGAAAGTCCGTGGCAGGCACAGTAGGCAATGCACTACAATTGCAGCATTGTGTTTTGCAAAGCTATGCACCTTGACAAGTGTGCCTTATCGAACCTGTTTAAATTCCATCATTGAAGAAGGCGATGAGTACTATGTAAAGTGCGTTCAAACCCAGGGACTCCCCACGACCCAACTCAACTGTGATGAACTCCTCACCACCTTCAATATAAATGGTTTGGTACTTGAAGTAAATATTGATCAGGTTGGAGAGGGTCAGGTTAAGGACTCAGTTAAAAAGAATTTATCTGCAGTTTTGAAGGCTGTTCACATGTATCCTGTAAACTAGTTGGTGAGTGTGGGCTGCTTTTTATTGGGCATGGGAAAACGAAAACTGTCTCTTGCATTCCCTTAGGCAACAATCACTTTTGTTTTTTTAACTCCCATTGTGTTGATTCCAACAATAACATTTGCATGGTAGACAAGAGAGGGGCTGCCAGGCTTTTCCGTTGCTTGGGACCAATTGCTGCAGCCACTTGTTTGTTAACTGACCATTCTTTGGGTAGTGCCTATTGGCAATTGTATGCCCTGAATATGCAGTATTGAACATTGTTTTTATTATTGTTCTGAACTACCTTGTATTATTATACTGTTCTACCTATTATTATACCGTACAACCTAGTATTATTATACTCTACTACCTAGCAGTATAGGTAGTGCTCCTTGTTAACTTTCAATTGTTTGTTATTGTTGACTCATCAAAATAAATAACTTGTGTTGTTACATACTTTACTAAGCGATAAATCTTTGCAAGTCTATATCCCATAAGACCCGAGAGATATTAACGACTACAGGCAATTCAAAAGTAAATGGAAATCTATTTACTTACCTATTTGCCATGGCATATAGATCCCGGGAGCAGAGCTCGTAAAAGGGGACGATTAAATTTATGAAATATAATGCTTAATACAAGGCAGTAGAACTGTTGTGGTGATTACATTGCAAATATTCTTTTAAAGTTGCCCAACCAACAATAATTTATCAGTTATGAACATTTCGAGGGGGAACCTACTTGGAAATTTGGTGAACTGTGAATATATTCAAATATTCAATGTCACTGAATACCAGTGAATATCACAGAATACCAGTGAATATTCACTGTAATTGTTGATTAATATCCTTGAATATTGATGAATATCGATGAATATCGATGAATATTTTGAATATCTTGTGAATATTCGCAAATATCACCTGAATACCTATTAGATATTAACCAGCGGGTGCACCGTGAATAGTCGAAGTTGGTGCCCCCTCGGAACATTTATCATGTCCATAGAGTTTCTGATTTTAATCAATATTTCTTTGCTGTTACCCCACAAATTTCAGTCAATGCTGGCATCCCTGAGGCCTTTGGGCATGTACTTTTTTTATTAAGTAATAAATCAAAACAAGAACAATACCCGATTGTTCAAATTGCAACTTGTCAATTCATCTCCTTAAATTGTAATAGGATGTTAGCTCTTAAATAACTACAGTATGCTTCAGACAGGAATTAAAAGATATACCCAAATATGGCAGCATTATAGCAATAGTTCTAAAATTAATTTTTAAAGCTTATCACTGAATAGTTTTCATTGGCTGAGCGATTAGCGAAGACCATTACTTCACTGACCGCAAAAGTCTCATTCTGTTTGTCTGTCCGTCTGTCCGCACGATAACTCGAGGAAGAATTGACAGTGCGATCTGGGAATTTTAGGGTCGTTTTTAGGGTCGTTTTGTATGACAAAAGGCCAGATCGCGTTCGAAGATGAGCATTCTAGCTCAAAACATGAGAGAAGGGCGCCCTGGAGTTCCAGCTTTTACCCCGTAAGAACCCGCCTGACGGACTTTGACAACACCCTGACGCCGCTGTATTGGTCGAAGACCATTTCCGAGGTCAGTGTCGAATTCAGCACGTTTAGACGAAGAGGAAGATGTGCTGTATGATACTGTTTGAAAACCTGGAAGCCGGCCTGAGCACTTGAAACCTACTACGCGGGGCGCGGGCCGGCCGCGGGCGCGGCTGGCTGGCTGGCGGCTGGCCGGCGGCCGGCGGGCCCCCCACTCCCACCCACCTGCCGACTGCGGGCAGCTCGCCCGTCCGTGCGCGCAGGCGAGGGGAGGAGAGGGGGAGCCAGCCAGCCGGCCAGCCGCCAGCCAGCCAGCCGCGCCCGAGGCCGGCCCGCGCCCCGCGTAGTAGGTTTCAAGTGCTCAGGCCGGCTCCCAGGTTTTCAAACAGTATCATACAGCACATCTTCCTCTTCGTCCAAACGTGCTGAATCCGACGCGCTCCTTCAAAATGCTCTACGACCAATACAGCGGCGTCAGGACGTTGCCAAAGTGTGTCAAGCGGCTTCTCGGGGGGAAAAAGCTGGGACTCCAGGGCGCCCTTCTCTCATGCTCAAAAGCTGACTTTTAAAAACTTCCTAAACCACAGGTCGATAAATACTTTTATTTCAAATATTTCTTCATGGGCTTTATTGGGTAACTCGTGAAGGTAGAACCCGGTGGACGAAAATTTCGTCCGTTCTGCTCTATCTTGTGCCGTTTGGGTGCTAGGGGGCATTTCTTAGCGAAAACAAGATAGAAAAGACCAAATAGTCAATTAAATCGTTAGAAAGGCTCTATTCTGCAGAATTGGAAAGGAAGTAATAGACATAACACATAACGGGTCGAACCACACCCTCTTTCGGGCTTAAGGGTCCCTAGATTAACTAGAATCACTAAAACGTTTATTTTTACATAACAATCTGTCAAAATTCGAACCTTTACTGAAAACCGGTATCGAACACCAGAAGTTTCGTGTCCCTAACAAGGTATTTCACCTGACGCAAACCGGATTCAAAGAAGAACAAGAGTTCTTCCTGAACTCTTTCCTCCTTGGCGCTCATTGGCCGATGCCGACGAAGCTCTAGGACACTAGGGGTCGACTGCCCTTGCGGCCAGTTCATGAACTTCGTCGCCGTCAGCCAATCAGAGCAGGGAAGAACTCTTGTTCTTCTTTGGATCCGGTTTGCGTCAGGTGAAATACAATATTATAGAGTAATAAGTCTCCGATAAATGCTGTTAGTATGTAAAGTTTTGGGACCCGAAAGACCCTGTCCCCGTATGTCCTCCCGTTAACTCGTCTCGGGTGTCAGCGCCACAGGCCTAGCTTTATGTGCGCCAGGCGCGTCGCAGCGTAACAGTGTTTCGTGAGATATCGCGAAGCCTGTTACGCGAGACGTGGTCTGGCGAACATATAGCTAGTAAATATGTAAACAGTATATCCTGCCAAGTTTAATTTGCCAGCAAAGCGCGGTTGTGAACTATTTCACATACCGGATGTACGGAGAGAAGCGACGAGCCGAAGCCAGAAGCCCACTGACGCCCACAGCAGCGAGCCAGGGTACTCGAACCGCAAGAAGATTTCTGAAGGCGCGGAGCCCCTCTCGTCGCCGACGCACCTTCCCAGGCGGCCCTGGAGGCGCAGGAGGTGGCTGCTGTCGCCCTAATGTTGCAAGCTGCAGAGGAGGAGGAGCTACAGGAGCCTCCACCAGTGGCTCTGTGCTCGCCCCTCATGGCCATCTGGCAGACGATAAATCGGTACGAGGATTTCAAAACTTGTAGCGACCTGGTGCCGGGGCATCCCTATGAGATTGCGTGTCTGTATAAACATGATCATGAAAAATTTGGCTTAAAAGCGTACGGCGAGGTCCATGAGACGCCCTTGTCCAAAATAACAATTCAACTGCCCGATAGATTTCAAAAACTAACGGACGAATTTGTGCATCGTTGTGTATCGTTCCGCCGTCGCTCACTCACTCGTTTATAATGACCAACTCGTGCTACGCCCTGTGCTTTATAACTCTATTGGACAGAGTGTCTCACGACTTGCTTGAGTTTCATCCGGGATGTGCAGATTTGACAATCATCCCCGATGAAACGTGCTATGAGCCAAGGAGATGTGTTCATGTCCATGGAGTTGCACCGAATGGGACGCTTCCGGATTTTGTTCACTCATGCGCCCTCTGTGATTTGCCCTGTCTCAATCCCGTCGTAGACAGCAACATTTGTGAACACGTCCCGGATTCTTCTGACGGTGATGACAGTAATGACGAACCAATGGACGAGGAGAATGACAATGACGACCACGATGTACTTGGACACTATGTAGAGGTAGACGAGGAAGTTTTAATGGAAGAGGAGGACGTTGTAATGGAAGGGGACAGTGAGACTGAGAGCGACTCTGATGGCGATCAGGACGAGCAAGAGGAGGAGGAGGACTTACCTACTCCACCTGTTTCGCCGCCTCAACAGTTCCCCGATTCACCGCCTCAACAGTTCCCTGACTCCACTACGGACGAAAAAGGTATGTGCCTCCCCTAGTGTGCTGTTCACCTCACCTGTTTTCCCCACTCCACATAAAGGCATCTCCTCCCCTCTCCCTCCCTCCCCAGCAGCACCCGGCGGCATGGGCTTCAAGTGCGAGTCGCGAGTGCCGGGGAGGTAGACCACCCATCTTTCACCTCCGCGACGCCCGCGTTCGGAGTGCGTTCGGACTCGTGAGCCCTTTCTCCCCTCTCTCCTCGCCAGACCACGTCTCGCGTAAAAGGCTTCGCGATATCACACGAAACACTGTCACGCTGCGACGCGAATGGCACACATCTACCTAGGCCTGCGGCGCTGACACCCAAGTCGGGCAAAAGGCAATGTCGTATATAAATAGACCGTCGGCCCCGAAAGTCACCAATTTTTGGGTTTTATTTTGAAGAATTACCCGACCAGAGACCATCAAATATCCGAGACAAAACATTCAAATGTTTTTGGGTGTAGAAATCGACCTCTGCCGCCCAACCGGTTAGAGACAAAGCCAAAGCTCTTCAACTCTCTCCCACAAGATCTGACTACCAGCTTTTCTTCCATTAAAAAATTTAAAAGAGCTGTTCACAAACTATACTTTGACAAGTTTTTTAACTGAAATGTAACTACTATTGCAGCTATTCTTATTACTTCTTCTCACTCCTGTTGTTTGCTATCCTTGCCTAATACTTCTATCGAGGGGTGCCCAACTCGAAAAAATCGTGTACACCTGATTACCAAAAAGCGACGATTACCAAGGATTACCGAAGATTACCGAGGATTACCTATGATTACCAAGGGTTTCCGAAGATTACCACTGACAAAAGATTACCAAAGATTGCCAGTGATTCCCAAAGATTACCAGTGATTACCAAAGATAACCAGTGATTACCAAAGATTACCAGTGATTACCAAAGATTACCAGTGATTACCAAAGATTACCAGTGGTTACCAAAGATTACCAGTGATTACCAAAGATTTCCAGAAATTTTCTTGCTGGATTACTGAGTGGTTACCAAAGATTACCTGGTGATTACCAACGATTACCTGTTGATTACCAGCGATTACCTAGTGATTACCATGGATTACCGGT